AAAGGAAGTAGATGTAGGCTTGTGGGTTTATCTTTAAAAGTGTGTGAAACTAAGAAGTAAAGTCAGGAGGAAGAAGTTGAGAAGAACGTTTCCCATTTAAGGCAGCAAAACAAAAAGATTGTGGGCTAGCTAAACAACGGATTGCTTACTCTCTCTCTTTCCCCACCACAACAACATCAACAAATGCCACAAATTAACACACTTTTCACTCCATCAACTTGTCTAATTTCTTGCATCCAATGTGCTTATGGACCAAAACACAAAAACCAAAAATTTTCCCAATTATTGGCTCAATCAAAAGAGACCTTTTTTATACATCTACAAGACTGCTTGTATCCATTGCTCCACATTTTTCTTCTGTTAAAAGCAGCTGAAGATCAGTGTGCCTTAGTAAAGTTGCGTATTGTTCTTGTGTTTTACAGGTGTTTTTATATCTCGAATCTCTCCTTGAGCATCAACTTATTTTTCCTTTTGCGTGAGAATTTTCAATTTTGACCTATACATGGAAATTCTCATATTCCATACATCTATCTGGAAATAGAAACATGTTGCCTTCTTAATACTGTCCATTCATTGGAAACTTGGAAGGTTTATTATTAATGCAAATTGCTAGCTTATTGGTTTCATGCACCCCTCAATACAATTTTTCTTTTCTTAAGCAAAACTTTTATATATCAAATTTTAGTCCTTCGGTTATAATTTTATTCCAATGATAATCTAAAAATAATAGTAACCAACACGAACAAAGTGATTTCGTAATTAAAAGATTGTTGTTATGTCTAGAAATTTCGAATTTAAATATAATGTCTGTAAAAATATTTACACATTCATTATCAAATAAACTAATATTTCCAATAAATTTTAAACTTTCATCTCATTATAATCTTAATCTTAATCTACTTTCCACCAAATAAATTTCACTATGAACTTTTTTAAAAAATAAATTATAACTCGAAAGTGGGTTGAAGTTGAGTCCTCGGTTCTTAAGTTTTAGCCACGATTCGTCGTCTTTAACTTTCTTTTTCTTTTAGAAAGAGCGAAGCATCGAAATAAGAGTGAACACCAGACACTCTTGTTTTGGGCCTTTTTATATTGTTCAAAAGAAGAAAGAAAGATGTCTGCTTTATTTTAAAAATGGTGTGTCACTATCGTTTCAACTCATCCCTTCATCTTTAACCTTAACCTAATCTAATCATACATTGATCAATCCACGTAAGGTTTAACGCTAAAAATAAAAACATGTCAGAAATGGCAATTTGACAGATTTGCTAAAGGCAGATTATACACTAATTCGAAAATTTAAGGGGTGTTTGGATGGTGAAATCCCACATTCTCCCGTTTAGTTAGTCCGAGAATCTCATTTCCGGTAATGTAAGATTACTAATAGTAGATTTTTTGAGGTATATTACCGAGAATGTCATTATCTCCATTTGTATTGTTGGATTTTCGGCGTTTTGGACTAAAATACCCTTAATTTTTTTTAAATATCATTTTTCTTTCATTAAATAATAAAAATTCTACGAATGTTAAATTACAAATTTATCCTTAAACTATTTTAGATTTACAAAAAAGTCTATAATTAAAATTTTATATGAAGTTTAGGGATTAAAATAAAATTTTACCCTTTCATTAAATCTTTTTATATTTTTCAATTTTGTAAAAAAAATTATATAAATTTTATAAATTTAAATTTTTTAAAGAAAATATTTAAATATTTTCCAACTTGTTAAAAAAACAAATATATAATAAGGACAATTTGGTCAAATATACATTCTAATAATCTTTTATTCCTTTAACCAAACACGATAATCTTACATTTCTGCTAAGCCAACCAAATACAAAATACAATATTCACAGTAATTCTATTTCCTGGTAATCTTATATTCTATGAACCAAACGCACCCTAAATGGTATAGTTTCATTTTAATCCTTTCAAAAACTATAAAAAAATTATTTTAGCATAATACTAAAATCATACTCTGACCCTTCCAAAAATTAATTATTCAATTTTGACCACAATTTCTGCCTTTGCTGCGCTTCGCATAACTGATTTTGATGTTTAACTAAATACATTATAGATTTTATCAACAACTCCGTTTTGGGGAGCTAGAGTTTCGGACCAAAACTGAAAATGTGTGTGTTACAACAACAGCAAAACACAATTCTCATATGCAATGGGGTAAGGGGAGGTAGGGTAGTAAGCTGCCCCTAACGTCAGGTTAAGAGTAGCTTCCGTGGAAGACCTCCGGCAGTCAAAAAATCAAAAATATAGATAAAAATGCAATGCATGTATAAATAAATACATAAATACATAGTTGAACAATATTTATATGTAGTCATTAATATCATACGCGCGTCTTTAATGGGAAGTAATCTCTGTAAATAAAATCCTGTGAAAAAATCTTTGCATATAGACAGTAACATCAGATCCGACTAAATTTAAAAGAGGAAATATAAAGAGAATGATACACAGAAAATGTGTGTTTAAATACCTTAAATTTAATTATTAATTTATTGTGATATACTATTGTTTCCTCACTCAGTTAAGGGGTTGATAGGGATTAAAAATGCAATTATACCATTAGCAGAGTACCCTCGTAGCCCTCAGCCAAACGTGGTGAGTGGAAAGACTGGTTGAGACAAGAATGAGGGAAGGGGTTAAATTATTGAAGCTGCAACTAAGGCCATGAGAATCCAAAGGGCAGGAATGAAGGGAAGGGGCCCTACAAAGGGTGAAGTTGACATTACCTTTCTAAGGCTTTTAATGGACTGTTTGACAGGAGGAGGAGGAAACGCCACATCCACTAGCTACGGTTTTGCAATTATTTATTCTTTGATAACATGGTTTTCAGAATTAGACCGGTTAGCGAACCGATCATACAATCAGTTTATTGGTTCAATCGATTAAATCGGTTTGATCGGTCAAAAGAACCAGACGACGTCATAATTATTTAAAAAACTAAATAAAAATATCAAAAATATTTAATAAAAAATAATTTTTATATCACAAGTCATATTCAAAACAAGTCATAACATATATAAGTTAAAAACCATAAAACCAAGTGAAACAAAATGATTCAAATTAACTACAACATAATATTTAATGTAAAACACATTAAATAATAAATATAATTATATAACTATAATTAAAAAATAAATTTAGGGCTAAAAAAATCATAACAAAATGATATTTGTTTGGTTTAATTTAAAAAAAAAACAATCTCACATGGCTAAGAAACATAGAAGAGCATCCCAAAAGTCTAAAGAGTAAAAATATGAGAACAAAACAATCTCACATGACTAAGAAACATAGAAGAGCATCACAACTAACTTCTATAAATAATAGAGGTAATTTGGTATTCAAAATCATGGAACCTTTTGGTGAGCATTGAGTGAACTATTCTTTCACTTCAATCAAGCTTGAATTTTAGGCTTCATTCGAGCTTCTAAATATTTTTTGAGTTCAAGTCTTTTTGAGTTCAAGTTTCAATATTATATTTCGAGTTTGAGTTGAACTTGATAATTTTTAGCTCGTGAGTTTGAGTCGAGTTGAGCTTACTTTTAAAGTTTTCAAGTTCGAGTCGAGCTCAGCAATACTCGAGTTCGACTTGGCTTGTTTAACAAATGACGTCGTTTGGTTTAATTTAAAAAACAAAAACAAAATTGACGATTTTTTCAGTTTTTTTCGATTTTCAGCCGGTCCGGTTCGAACGGTTCTGACCGGTTCACTAGTAACGTTTCAACCGGTGTGGATTGAACCGGACTAGATAACGATTTCCTATTGAACCGATTGGTCCGATCCGATTTTCAAAACACTGCTGGATAGTATTATGAGTATTGCAGGGTGACGATGAAAACATGAAAGTGACATCACCATCCCTCTTATATTTTTCCATATGAATTAAATTCATGATGTTATGGTTTAGCTGCATGATTGATTCCTAAGTTAACACAAACCTAACAAAGCGAGTGGGTTCACCAAAATGACATAAAGCTAAGCCCCACGGAGGGAGGGAGGGGATTTTTGGTAAAAATAATGAAACAAAAGCAATTAGCAGTGTGGAGAAATAAAAAAAAAGTGCTGGACAAAGGTAAAGGCAATAAGATGCTGAGTCTCTGCCAATACTGTATTACACCAAATCCATCGTCCATTCAACTCTTGGAGTCTGTCCACTATATCTCCTCAATGTGATGTGACAATGTTAACCCAATTATTCACTTCCCTTTGCAAGGGGCAGGACTGAATTACCTAGGGATCGCTAGGAGCTATGGTTTTCTAAAATCAGGTTAAATTATCATTAATTCTTTTAAATTTTATTTTATTTTTAAAAATATGCATACTAATTTACTAGATATTTTAAAAACCTCTTTCATTAACTGACTTTTAAAATATAATATTTAGAAAAGATAAAACATTAGAGAAGATAATTATTTTCTTAATATAAAATAATTTTAACTTAAAAATTAAAAGAACACATATTTTACTTAACTAATAATATTCAGGCATAAATATAACAAACAAATATTTTTACATTTTTAAATTCAAAAATTAAATATATTGTCATATTGTATACTTATGTTTTGGCTTCCTCGCCCATATAAGTTGTGGCCCATATAGGTTATGAGAAAAATAATTTATTCATATAAAGCATATATCATATTATTTATTAAAATAGGATTTTCTTATTAGTGTAAAGACGTCGTGCATTCTTAGAGTCTTCTTCATTTACTTGAAGACGTCATTCAATCGTAAAATCTTCTTCATTTGCCTGAAGATGTGTGGAACACCAAGTGTCTTTAAATTAATATTGTGCAATTCACCCTAGATGAAAAAATAATCTCTAGGTTGAATTATATTGAGAATTAAAAAATCTCACATTATCTCAGCTATTTTGCCCGTATGTTTTATATATTATATATACAGCCCAATTCTATATTCATATCTGAAAAAAAACTCAATTTCTCAAAATTTTCCAAGGCTTGCAGAAGGGTCAATCAAGAATTATTGAAAAGTTGGATCATGGGCTTAAACTTTCCAAGTTTTCCAGAAAAATCAACCAAGAATTATTGTAGCCAATCCAAAGGAGCCCGAAGGCTTACTAATCCAAGAAAGCCACGAATTACCATAAAATACAATCAAGATAGACTTACGTTCTATTCTTTCTGGTTTATTAAAGCTTTAGAAGAGCCAGACGAAGCAAAATTAGGATAGCAGTTGCTTAACTTTCAAGCGCTAATAAAATGGCACAATTTACAAACAACGTTAATGTTGTTCACGTTAAAAAGTGTAGAAGCAAAGTCTATAAAACAAGGTACTTTCTTCACCAACAAATGTGAAAGTTACTATGGTTTCTTTACAGTCAGGCATGGGGAAGTACATATTACCTTTTAAGTGGCTTGTAGAGTACAACAGTCACGTATTTGGACTCGAACCTATGGGTCAATCCAAGGGCAACCACAGACTGTGATGCCCATCCTTTCTCTATGAAAAGGTGGTTAAGTACAACATGTTGAGGCTTCGAGGATGATGCTCCATCTTGGTTATCTGAACCGAGGACGGTTACATGTAGCTGGGATGGAACTACAGCAGGCTCCTTCGCGAAATCTTCTTCGGTTGGAAGTGCCTGACCATAACTGGAATTTGGAGATGCTGGAGCCTCAAACTCAGTTACACTATCTAGATTTTCAGGTACATAATCCTACGAGGAACAGTGAGAAGTCATTAAAAATACAAAAGCAATAAAAATTAATTATTGAGATCTTAGTTAAGGCCATAGAACGCGGGGGAAGTAATAAAACTATTATTGATTGTTTTAGACAAGAACCTAAGTAACATACATCTTAGCTATTCCTACTCGTGTGCCTAAAACAATATACCTTAAACCACTCTTTTTAGTTTTTAAGCAACAACATATGTTAAATTTGTAAATGCACAGTTTTGAATGCCAATCATCCATGGAAAGCAGCCCAAGAAGCACCATTAAAAGAAGTAAAATAAACGTAAAAGATTCGAAAGTGAGCAAGAGAGCATATAAGGAGATATGTTACATACATGAACATCAAGAAGATTACAAACATTGCCCATATCATCAGATACAAAAGGCAGATCAGGTGTATATCTCCATTCACCATCAACAATGAACTTATAATGGTATATGCCAGATGGAAGGACCAAAAGAATAGAGTGGTCCTTACCTGCCTTCTGCAGTGTCTTCCTGCAGAAGAATAACAATAGACTCTATTATATGATGTCAATGGTTGGGTTTTGGATGAAAAGAGGAACAACAGATTTCTCATGCATGAAAATGTGACTATAGACCTACCTTGATCTCCAATTGTCCCAAGAACCTTCCACGGACACATCGTTACCACCATAATTCCATGTAATAATGACAGGGATTCCTTTCTCGGATGGACTGTCGGGAACCACAAGAAACTCATGCTGCCAAGTTTGGTTGAAAAAGGAATGACCATCAGCTCTTGGTAAGGGAGCTACAGGAACCTGAAAATGCACACCAACCTATCAGTTGAAAGGCCACTACTCGGACAAAACTCTCTAATTATAGGTGAACCATCAGCATACTTCTCCCTCGCCTCACTTGGCAATCCAAACAACAGACCACGGCATAAGCTGATGAATAAGCGTCAATAAAATATGGCCAAGAGCCCGAATAACATTTAAGAAATAGAAATGACCATCTGACTGGGACATAAGACTAACAAATTAAAAGAAACTTATTGAAATAACAATTTACACAATCAGAACTTGCAAGCAGTGCAGACAATCACCCCTAAAATATTTAAGCGACTAAAGCTCCACACGTAAAAGGGAAACAATTCTCATGGGCAAAAACCAATGTAAACGGAAATGAGATTGGATATTCCAACAACAAAGAAGATTCTGTCCAAAAGTTTAATACTTTAGGGTATCAGCATCGGTTAGTCTTATCATTCACTATTCCTCCTCCTCACCATTTGCCATATAAGTGTTTAGATTAGTTCAAACCAATCATCAGCTCAAACGATGATCATAAAGAATTAGTAACCTCTCTAAAGGGTTACAACATTTGCAAACACAAACTTTCTCAAACATTTTTTTTAAAAAGCAATGAACTGAACTAAATCAAATCATGTTATGCTAAAAGGATCCTACATAAGTAATAGCTTTTAGTTCCATTTTTAAGTACAAGTCACTTTTCTTCTCAAGCTTTTAACAATTTCTCAAAAAACAACAAGCTTAAACTGCTTTTAAAAAAATATCAACACCCTCATTGACCAAATTTTGCAGAATTGCCCAAATATTAACCAAAATACACGCTCAAACGCCATCTACCATGTCTCATTCAATGAAAGCGGAACTATTCACAACTTTTAATTTGTTCTTCAGTTAGTTGTTTCCCATTTACAACGAAAGCTCAGATCTTCCTAATTCAAATATCTTTATTTTACTTTCAGATATTTGACTAATTTAAAATACTGAAAAATACAATAAGTTCAAAGTCCTGAAACGATCATTAAAAATTGAAGACGCCAACCTGAGGAGCGAACAAAAGAGGAGACTGAGACCGGCGAGGACTCTGCGGCGGCGTATTCACCATTGAATCAGACGATGGCACGCGAACTCCCACTGCAGCGGCTCCTCGACCTACGGGGTCGCCGCCATTGGATCTTCCGGATAGATCGTCGACACCGCCGTTGGCCCCGTCTTCTCTTCCGTTTGCATTCCCCATATCTTCAACTTTTTAATATGTAAATTGTCAAAGATATCCAAAGAGAGGACGAGATTAGATTAAAAAGAGAATAAAGGAAGAGAAAAACTTGTTCTGGTAGTTGAATGAAGACAGGGATTAAAAGAACACTGGCTTTGGGTTTATTTACGGAGATTGACACTAGGAACGTGTTCAAATGCAAGTCTGCAATTGCCGGGACACGGTAGTTCTGATCAAAACCTTGTTCTCTCCCTCTCTCTCTCTCTCTCTTTAATTTGTCTTCACTATTTGGATAAAATAAAACCATTCCTATTTCTGTCTCGTGCACCCTCTTATATTTAACGTTAAAAATGACCGACGGATCAGATCAAGGAGATTTTTTGTTGAAAAAAGTCACCTAATTTCTTTTCCTAAATCACTAAAAATAATAACTTGGATGAAAATAAAACTTAAAGCGAAAACAAATGGATATGATTACTTAGGATAATATATAGTTCTATATTAAAAAGCACTGGTTAAAGTGTTGACAACCTATTTTTTTTAAAATATATTATTTATGAATAATCTTTTAATTTAATTAATTAATTTTGTAATTCACCGACGAATCTGTCTTAGTTTAGATATGGATGTATAGGATAAGGGATAATGTCGTTGAATACGCATTCCGTCAGATGATCGTGACATGATGTGTTGAACTTATCATCTTTTTTTTTTACTTTTGGGCCTTTTATTCTTATCTTCTCCCTACTCTTTAGTCCATAACTAACGACAGTAACAATAAACTGCTGGCCTCGGGATTAAACTAGGTTAAATTATCTTTAGTGATTATTCAATCCTTTCTTTGATGACTAAATATTTGTTTAATTTAAAAAGTTTTGCAATCATTTAAAAAGTTTTAAAATATTTAAATTTTATTTAATTATCTTAAAGTTGCAATTTTTATTTATATAATTCTAAATTTTATCATAATCTGAATATTTAAATATCAAAAATAATATCGTTTATAAAAAATATTAAAATAAAATAAGATCGTTTCTAAAAATAAATTAAGATGAATATGTACGTTTAATAAAACTTATCAATTACTTGTTGTCTATAGATACATTTTATGATTAAAACAATGCTAAATAATAATTTTTTAAATTATTATTTTTAATTTAAACCATCAAATGATTTTAGTTATAAAATATAATATTACTCTTTTTAAAATTTTAATTTTAATATGAGTATGGTGTCGATTAGTTAAAAATAAACAGAGACTATTCCGTGTTATTAATTAATTAATATAACTAATATGTTATAAATGTATTGTTTCTATGAATAAAAAATATATTTGAAGATAACTTATTATTTCAATTAATAAGATACTTTTTTATGGGAAAATTAAATTGAAACATATTATAAAAACGTACAAAAACATTTAACGTCTTTATAAAAATATTTTTTTTTATTTTGAAAAACAAATCCTTATCAGATAAGGAAGAGAGGAATGATTACCACTTTTTTTTTTTTTTTTGCCAATAGGGCTTTTAGATTAAAAATTTAGGATTTTATCTATCTTCAAATTTTAATTAAGGATCTATGGTATTTGTTACAGTGTCGGGTGAATTCGTCACCTCGAGATGACGAGTTCATTGAAATATTATTTTTTAATGGACTCAGATGAATGGGTCTCACATGGGCCATTAATCTATTGTTTTTAAGCAAACTCATCATATCGAGTTGATGAGTTCATTATTACTATTAAAAAAATAAAAATAAAAAATACCTCGAGGTGACGAGTTCCTTCGAACTCAAAAAACTATTTGTTGAACAACGGGAAATTGTGCAACGATCACAATATAACCCATCACGTTGATGTGACGAGTTTGCCCGAATTAAATTTAAAAAATAGTTAAAAATAATAATAAATTTTTATTAAAATAACATTGTTTACAAACTAATAAAATTTATTTATATTTTCTAAGTTCTTAACGTTGCCGATGAGTGGTCGAATAATAATAGTGCGGGGCTCGTCGAGTACGTCAGGGTCGTCGGCCTTGATCATCACCGTCGTCTTCATCTTGCCGAGGAGGTGTACTTAACACAGTCTGAGATTCACCTTCGAAAAACGGTGATAGGCTTATGGTATTTGACGTCATCATTGTCGTTACTGAATCAACTTGGTGGCTATGTTGTTGACTATATACGAAATAATCACATTCACCCTCACCCTCATGTTTTGTCGAAGATGTTTGAGTGTGTTGCATTGTATCCCATGAACCTCCAACGCAAGTAGACTGCCTCGGTTGAAGTATGATATGTAGGATAGATATTGAAACTAGCTTGAGATGCATAATAGTAATCTTCAGCTGCAAATGCTGAAGTAGAAGAAGAAGACGTCGATGATTTCTTCTTGGACTTGGAGAATTTATCCTGATGTTGTTCTCATTCTCCACTCTATTGTGGTGTTGTGAGATATGATTTGTCATTTGCTTCGTAATTTCGGAGATAGAGAGAAAGGTTAAAATCTAGGTCCAGCAGTGTAATCTCGTACCGCTGGGGAACGATAGGTGTCGTTGATTCTATAGCTCGATGTAATAAGCGTGCTTCACCGGTCAATTTTCGGTATGTTTCCCATGAGTGTCAATTCTATAGAGCGCGTTCATCTGAACGATTTGTGTAGGAATCGATTGATGCAACGTATATTGTCGTAGCACTCTATCGCGGAGCTCAACAATCGTAAAATATAATAACGAAGTTGTAGCAAACCATAAATCGAACCTCAAAAAATTACGATGGCAATAATCGGTAGATATCGTCGTCAGCATATGGAATCAAAAAAAATATAAATATTAAATATCAAAGTTAATATATATAAAGTTTAATTTTTAAAAATAATAATAATAAAAGAACAAATATATACTGCATATCAACCAGCGATGTCGATCCTCATCCGTATATCTTTTACAGTGACACCTAAAAACTTCGTCTCGGTTATTTTATGGTGCCATCTAAAATATTTAAGAATAGAAAAAGATTAAAAACAAATAAAAATTAATTAAGTTAATTAAATTTTAAAAAAAAGTTAATAAAATTACTTTTCAACAAGAGGAAACTCTATCGCGGCTGTTGTAATTGTCATAAAAAAGGGGAACTGATACTGATAATTTCGTAAAAAGACTATATTTAAGGTCTTTTTACTTAAGTGGTTGATTATCTTAAGGTACATATAGGTTCATTTAGATGCATTTAGGAGCATGTAGTTGCATTTGGTAGATTTATTTTGTCTTAACACTTTATTTTCTGAATGGTGTTATTTTACGGGAAAGGTTTGATTTGGATGTTGATGTGCAGGTTCTAGAAGCAAGGGTGTGTAAGGAGAATTACTATGGTAAACTAGGATGCTAAAGCAGAATGAAAATGTCGTTGCATTGCTGAGCACAGAAAAAAGACAAAGGAGTTGGAGATATTTTCACACAAAGACAACTGTCAATTCATCACGTGTTCTTTGCTGCCAGTCACCCATGAGGGGCCCACTGCCACCTATTATACTACCCCTCACATGTAGGGAATGTACCTTAGGGTACCATTGTAATTTTGGAATAAAATCCTAGGTATATTCCATTGGTATATATATATTATGACACCACAAATGAAGAGAGAGATCTTGGCGGGGGGAAATGAGTTGAATAAGAAAAGAAATGCGGCATCAAGCTTCCAACTTTCTTTCTTTCTTTTTCTCATCTCTTTCATGTTGTTCCTCTATTTTCAAGTTTGAGGGAGCGGCGAACTAGGTGTCCGAGAGGAGCTAGCACCGCTAAAGGTAGTTCATGGTGGTTGAGAGAGCTCCAACAGTGCACGTCATGAGTCTTTCCTCCACCCTTATGCTTTCATTTTATTCACATTTTATGGGTTGTAAGGAACGAATAACTGTTATGGATTATTCGAATCCCACCATAAACTAAACTTTATTTGATGGGGTTCATCACAGATGATTAAGTGTTTTTCTTTAATGAATGGTTAATACTTTCATGTTTATTGCTTTTTGCTTATTGTTTTTAATTACTTAACATTGTAGGAGCTATGAAAGTAGTTTTTCTTAAGTATACTACTTAATGTTCGAGAGAAACTAAGTTATTAATATTTAGTGTTCGAGAGAAACTAAAGGAAGATAGACGTAAGCAATGGGTTTTAGCTGATAACTAGAGCCTAATCCACCGTTAGAGATGAGGTTAGGATTTGAACGACTAAAAGGAGTAGTTGTGAATCGATAGGTTAGATGTTGCTGCTCAGGCCAAGAGAATTTGTCGTGGCATTCTCATTTATCAAATCCCATGACTAGAGATAGCGTAGGAACACTCGTAGTAAACTCGATTGAGTAAGTAAGACATAGAAATTTAGATCATCTTAAAATATAAGACTTAAGATCCCTAAGTGGCCCCATCATTCATTCTCATAATAGCTTGTTGTGTGAGGATTATCAAGTCATCTTACTTAATTTTAATGTTATCAATATGTTTTGCCTTAGCATTTTTATTTGATTGCACTTTAAACAAGTACTTTTTCCACAACATTCTCATTTGTTTAGTCTTCCCGTTATTGTTGAGGTAATTTCAATATTGAGTTCGTATAAAAATAATTTTTTGAGTATATAATGAAATTTTTTTACACTGAATAGTTGGTCATGTATAAGGAAAGATCATCGTGATATACCAGACGAATTGGAAGAAATTTCATTACTCATTGATCAAAATGCTGGTACATTGGTATGTATTTAAATTTTAGGGTAAAGTATAGTAATGGTCACTGAACATTTCTGAAGCTTGCATTTAGGTCCCCCAACTTTTAAAACTTACAATATAGTCCCCCCAACATTTATTCCGTTTGCAATATGGTCCCCCAGCTTAAATCACTGTTAGAAAATTAGGGTAAATTATATAAACGATCATTGAACTTTTTAGGCACTTGAATTTAGGTCCCCAACTTTTAAAACTTGCAAAACAGTCCCCCAATAATTTTATTTTCTTATTAAATATAGATGTATAGAAAATATAAATGATTCAATTTATATTTAAATGTATGAATCATTTATATTTTTGATATATTTTATTTTTCTTGTATAAACTAGTATTTAAAATATGTTTATATTTTAATCAAAATATTTCAATATACGAATACAAATATATTTATATAAATGTATATTTATATTTAGATGTATAAATAAAAAAATATATTCATATATTAATGTATGAATCATTTATATTTTTTGAATATTTTATTTTTAATAAGAAATTAAAATTATTAATTATATTAGAAATACTAAACTTAAGATTATATATATAATCATGAATTATAAATATGAAAAATATAATTATTAAATTTAGTTTAAAAATATATAAATTTTAAATTTATTCTTTTAAAATATTGTATCAACTAATATTTAAAAAATATATTAAATCTAACAAACAATTTATCAAATATAATATTTTTTATTGTAAAAAAATATAATATTTTCCCATCATTTATTGCTTTCAAATTTTTTGCCGAAGTTCAAATCTCATTATTTTCATTTTCCATTATATTCTTTTTTTTTCTGGCATTGGTCATACTATTAGTATATGTATTATTGTATATCTCTTAACACAAACGATGGTGTTAGCTTAGTGGCTCCACCCTGTATCTTTCATTTGCGTGACTGAGGTTTGAGTTTGCCCAAGACCCAAATTTTACTTCTTTGTAACTTAATTTTTCTTCTAATTAGGTGGTGACATGTGTCACCAATAACATATATCATGATCATGTGTTAACACATGTCAGATCCTGGTTAAATGATTAATTTATTAAATTTTATTTAATTTAGGACCAAATTGATAGCATATATAAATAATTAGGTGGTGACATGTGTCACCAATGACACGTGTCATGATCATGTGCTAACACATGTCAGATCCTAATTAAATGATTAATTTATTAAATTCTATTTAATTTAGGACCAAATTGATTATATAAATAATAAAGACTGAATGTATAATAATGTCAATTCCTTTTAACTGCCACTTCATCATTTGTATCAATTGGTAACGACTAGTGGCTTAGTTGAAACAGTTAAATAATTATGTTATATGATTGATAAATTTAAAAGATCGATGACAAAAGTAAAAAGGGCTAGATAGTTAAGTTGTCAACCTAGTAGTTTACACTTTTATTTATACGTCAAAATAACATTTTATAAATTTAAAATTCGAATTATTTTCAACCTCTTCTATATCCTAACTACTTTTTTTAATTAAAAAATTTCTTCAACAGATAAGAATTATACTATTATATTTATATATAAAAAATATGTATCACATGAAATAAGATGAAATTAAATAATAATAAAATCTGACATAATTGAATTGAATTGAATTATTTTGGAATTTAGGGTTTAGAATGAAATTGAATTACTTTGGAAATTGGGGTTTAGAATGAAATTGAGGACTGTTTTGCAAGTTTTAAAAGTTGGGGGACCAAAATTCAAGTGTCTGAAAAGTTTCAATAACCTTTTATATAATTTACCCTAATTTCTAACGGTGGTTTAAGTTGGGGGACCATATTGCAAACGGAATAAATGTTGGGGGACTGTATTACAAGTTTTAAAAGTTGAGGGACCTAAATGCAAGCTTCAAAAATGTTCAGTGACCATTACTATACTTTGCCCTAAATTTTATTACTTACTTTTAATTATCGTTATATAATTAAAATATTTTTTTTGATAAAAATTATATGTATTTATTTTAGTTTCAATGGGCTCCTTATGCTACTGAACAAATTAGGCATTGCATCGCATCTCACTTGAGTGGCCCATTAGTTATATGGATCACGGTGGTCCCTCTAATATATTATGCTATTGTCGAGTGGCATACTACAGATCGCGTGCTCTGCCAATTTGGTTTCGTACAATATATTCCTGAAGCACCTAGAAATATCGACAATTTGTATGTCATCGATAGACTGGGCAAAAAAGAAGTCAACTAGATGATGAATTACAACGAGTGGGTAATGATCTGGAAAGATCAACATGGACGTATTCCCCGTATGGAGCCTATTTATGTGGATCGTTATTCAGTTACAGATGATTATTATTAATGTTTTAACACAAACGGGAAATCGTTCCTACTTTTCGAGGAAACACGAGGTAGGAGCATTCATCAACATTTAGAAAAGAATCAACTGTCACAGCATCATCATTCCCCAACTCATGGACGGAGAGCATGCGCTTCTGGTTCATTCTCAGCTGCAGTACCGAAACCATCATAGCATCCATCATCTACACCAATTTACATTCCGTAACCGTTTCAGATGGGGATGCAACTATTTTAGATGGCACCACAGATGTTTTAGATACCATCGTAGTAGGCCATATGCCACCGAAACCATTTTAGATGCCATCATAGCCTGTTTAGATGCCACCGTTGCAGGGTTTTATGACACCTCCTAGCGGATATTATAGTTCCATACTTGTAGATCCAGCGTGGGCTTCATATGCTGCTTATTTGGCAGGTGATACTTCACCATAGACTCAGCCACATCTGCCCCAGTTTTTGCAGTCATCGATGTCGATTTTTTCGCAGTTTTCACATTTTTCTATGAGCGGTGGGATGGTTAGTCATACACTTCCAGGGTCCTTATTTTATAGAGGTGCTACATCGTTATTCATCCCCCATCAATAAAATATAGCTGCTACTAATGATGATGATAACGATGAAAGTGGGGAGGAAGAACAACTTATACGACGAAACCCTCATCGAAATAAACATCCACCGCCCTGTGAAACACATTCAAGACACAAACATCGATATACTTGTTTAGTTTGTAATTTTTTATTTAATTTTCTTTATTTATCATCAAATGTAATGTTTTTATATAATTGTGGACTTTTTATTTTTTTGTTAATGTTTTTATTATTTAATTATTTGAATTGTATCATTTGTATTTAAGTATTTTTATTGTTTTTATTATTTAGTTTGTAATGTTTTTACTTAATTTTCAATTGTGTAGTCCATTACTTAGTGATGCTAAAATGACATTAATTGAAAGTAAGGTTTTTTGTTAAGTGTCAACAGCATCTAGCAGTTGGCTTGTAATTATTTTCATAACAAGGGCTTTTTAAATGCAGCACAATTGAAAGACAACAGCTCCTAGCATGTTTTACTTTGAAGTTGATTGTTTAATAGTACTGTTTTACAAGCTGGCTATTGTGTTGAGATAGATTAACTCTCTTAAGATGGACGGTGGACATATTTGAGTCTTGACTCATCTATTTTCTGATGACACATAAAGCTTATTACCAAACTTTTGTAACTACTTATATTTTGTTAAGTTCTATTTTTAATTTTAGTTACCTCATTCCTAAAATTATGAAACTCTTGCTTTCATTGCACTATTTTTTGTAGTTTCTCAATGCCAAACTTCAAATTTTAGTTGGTTAAATTATGGTAACAAAAATCTTATTTTGTTTTGCCAAAGGTATAAGAATTCATTTAATAATCTTTCTCATGGATCTTTTTCCATAAATCTTCTGTTTTTGAATTTTTTTTATGATTTTATTCGTTGTGCAGATTCTCTCATAGATGCATCAATCATTTTGTTTTCGACTCTGGTGATTCTGAAGTTCAGGAACTCATGCAAAAGTGGTCTTTAACATTGTATCCAAAAGTTGTTATTATCTGCCCACTTTTAAGATCAGATATCTCAAACCTGTATTTTCATTTCTATTTAAGTAGTGCCCCCTTCACTTGTTTTAAAAAAGATGTACCATTTTGGCTTGAAGACTTGTTTCTTGAAAATTGTGGCGAACAGGTAGAATTTCCTGGCAGAGGACATAATGCCTTTTCAGGTTTTCAACAGTGTTATCCAATAATATTTTCTTACTTTTTTCTTAAATCGATTGATGTTTTATGATGACTATTTCTTATTAATCTAGGTTTATGTCAGGCTGCCTTTTTTTTCTGGGTGTTGTTATTTTTTCTTGACTTGTGATTGTTTTATCTTTTATTAATTGCCTGGAATCTTTTTCCACTTGTATGGTTCCCCCTTGTTTAACTTCATATAGAATAGAGTGTTGTGCTGTTACTTCTGTGATATGCCCTTTAGCATAACAGATTATGGAGTCATTAACTACAAATATTGGATGAGATGAGATTTCAAAATGCAGGTTCAATGGGTATATTGTCTCAACTGCTGCTTTCATGCTTAATGTATTCTTAATGGAAGCGTCTACTAACCTCCCATCCCTAACCCCCTTTTCCTGTATCTGATCCCGTGTCCTTGCGGTGTTTCTATCATTGATCGAGAACCTTTGCCTTAGGAAGGGGAACAAATGGAGTTGTCGGTGTACTTCTTCATTGAAATGGTTTCTCTGTCTTCAATGATAACATTTGTCTGAGTTATTTGTGATGGGAGATGGGATCAACGTGACAGGGAAGGTCCGAGATATTGTTTTGCGTATAAATAACCGGTTGTTTATGTATATATGAAGTTATTTGTCAGGTCCCAACATGATGTCCAGAAACCCCCTCGTCTTGTTTGTGGGACTTGCATTCATGGGGGGAAGAACTTGCTGGTAGTTGAATTGATGGGACTGTCGGACTGGTGAAGCCGAAGAATGTTAGTTGCCGGTCGACTTTCTTGCGTAACTGAAATAACAGCTTCTGATTATTATTGCCCATGATGCATGTAAATCAAGAATCCTGGATAGTTGTTCCTGCATTCGATTTCAAAGAGAACGTTCTACGGTTCTCTGCAAACCTATGTATATTTATTTATAACCATGGTGCAACGTTATACAGATACTACAAAAGTTTTGGATAACTAAGGTATACTATATGTTTTCAAGGGGAATATTTCCATTTAGGGGAATGTGGAGATGGAGATCAAAGTTATTGATTGCATGAGGTGGGAATTAAATTATTGCAAAACACAATTAGACTAATAATTGAAACATATTTTATTAAGAAAACAATTGTTTCTAACCAACGGGTTAATATAAGTGGTTAGGAATTTGATATCGTTTGGGTAAACATCGAGTTCGAGTCCTATGTATGTAAAAAATTCTTGTTGGGAGATTCGTCTTTTAAAGTCGGGTATAAACGATTAATCAAGGTAAAATCCTGATAATAGGGTAAAATCTTGAGAATCGGGTGGTAAATAAATTTATTTTGACACATGATAATTTTATGCGCGTATGATTTATTTTGTTGGTACTAAATGGATAGTGTAATTGTGCTATTTTGTTAGAAAATCGATTCAAAGAACAATTTATATGCTAATACGTTACGTTTTCATTCATAACCTATTTTACATCTTTTATTTAAATTTTGACACATGCATTTGAATTATAATTATTTTGTTATTTGGTATCACAATTTAATTGTTTTTAATATTTTGTGTTGTTTAGTTTATTCTATAAAATTGTAAAATTTTAACTTTGATTTTTTTTTAAATAATTATAATATTTGTCATATGTTAAAAAAGAAAACGATTTTATTAGACGAGTATGTTTTAGTTAATATTTCTGTAATTATAAACTTGTGATATGTATATTTTTAAGATTGTAAATAAATTAGAGATGGTTTTTGAAATAAAATTTTATTTTTTTTAAGATGTATAGTTTCTGTAACAAAAGATGTATAGTTTAGATGAAAATGTCTTTTAACATTTTAAAAATTATAAAACAGTTTTAATTGGATCTATGAATTTTTTTTATACTAAGTAATTCTTTTTTAAGTTTTGATGGGATAAAATTCAGAACTTATACCATATGTTATGTCATCAAAATTTGAAGGGGGAAAAGATAGAAGTATTAAGCTGAAAAGTACTTTTTTTAAACCGTGAAAACTATCAGGCCTAGTTAAATGGCGTTTTTCCCGAAATATTATCAGTGATCAGTATATTTATCGACACCGGTCAGATTATATTTCTCGATCTAACACATGTAGCAGTAAAGTGCCCTCTGACTCGCTTTATACGTTGATTTGGCGCCGCGTGAGGTATAGCGCGCCCCTTGCACCGCGCTATTTGCTGACTGGGTTACACGTGTGGTATAGTGCTCCCCTGAACCACACTATATTTGTGTATTTAGACAATTATATTTAGCGCGGACCCTGATCCGCGTTATACCATTATTACATATACCGTGGTGCAGGTACCGCGCCTTGTATGGCTATATATACCTTTCTCCCTCTGTTATGTTTCTCACATCTATCCTCTCAACTTATAAATTAATACAATAATTTCGTCAATGAGTTAATAATTTTGGCAATATTCTCATATTTAATTTAGAAGTTCGTGCGATTTTTCGTTATAAGGTAATTTTGTTATAAATTTTTTTATTATACTTATTATTTAATCTGTGTCATTTGAAAAAATATTATACTAATTATTTTCAATTATATTATTTAAATTATTTACGTTGATGTGTAAAAATTTATTATGTTATATTTTCGTTCATATATAATTTATTTAATCAGGTTTGTTTCTGTTATTTTTTTGCAGATATAATATTGCTGCACTTTTAAACTCAAAGAATGGCGCGACTTTCAGCTATTGTTTATTATGATAGTGAAATTCAAGAAGATGAAACCGACGTTGTTTTCGTATCAAATGAGCGTGTTAAAATATCATTCAAGATAAACATAACTCTTGAGGAGCTGATAACGAAGATTTCGAGGAAGATTCATATTGTTCGAACTTTCGAACAATGATGATGTTGAAATGATGGTTGAAGCTCGCCGCTATTGAGATGTATGCACATTTTGTTCAAGTGCGTGCTGTTCGGAGTCAATCATTAAGCTCCCACTATGGGCTGGCTGAACAAGTTGATCAAGTTGACAGCCCGACTACAATAATGTGTAATGATTTTAATGCCATAATGGGGAGACATTCATCCGCAACTCCTTACGATATGTACCGAGGTGGGTCCACGAACAATCCGTATGGCAACACCGCGTCCAGTTCAAGGAGAAGGCATTCATCTGCAAATTTCTTTGACCATATGGAGATGCCATCGACGCAACCATCTGTGTAGTTTCCATTTGACACGATGGCTTCAAGCTCCAGGGGGAGGCATTCGACTGCGAGCTTTTTTGATCTCAATGTCGATATGCCTTCCAGTTCAAGGGGAAGGCGTGCAAGAAGTATGTTCTTTGACCTAAATGTGGAGAGCATGCCCAAGACTACAGCAGTAGGAGACATCCGCCGATAGCATTACGCCTGTAGTCAGTGGCTCTACACATCTCCCTGTTCAGTAAAGCCAAAACTGTCGAGCTCCAACTGAATGATCCGGCGAGACGAAAGTCGCTAAGATGTCGCAACCACATGCAGTGAACTAGGTTGCGCGATTTGTCCGGCATCAACAACCCTCCTATCAACTGCAATATGCATGCACGTGCATATATCTTAACCTCATCCTCAGAGGCGTCTGCGCTCAACTCCCGAAAATTGGCATTTAACCAATTTAACGGTATCCTACCTCCGATAAAACTTTCCGGGACACGTCCTAGATTTTACCAGGACAAAGTAGTCCAAGAACCGGAAGCTATCCCTGATATCACATCTCCATCCACCGGAAGCCCCAGGTAAATAGAAACATCCTCAAGTGTGATCGTGAACTCTCCGCACGGAAGATGGAATGTGTGGGTCTCCAGCCTCCACCGCTCTACTAAGGCAGAAATAAGGTCTGGTTCTATCTTACAGTGACCCTGATATTTACCTATGTAACCAAATTCAGCCTTTACTAAATACGGCAAGACACGGCTATGTATCACTAACTTAAGATTCCTAATAAAAGGATCTAATATACGGTCCTTTTCCTAAAAATAAATAATTACAAAAATTAATTCTTAATCTAATAATCATGCATTAAATAAATCAACAAATTATTACTAATAATTTAAATTAAATTAAAACGTTAAAATGTTACCGTATCAGCAAAGTGTCGAGATATATGATTTCCATCTAAGCGAAGTAGATCGCCTTCTATTATATATCTGTAAAAAATTTATATTAGTAAAATATTAAATAAAGTAAAATACTTAAATAAATTAAATATAAAATATTAAAAATATTATAAAATATATCTTAAACGAGAGATTATTTGAGAGAATTTGAGAGAATTTAGTGTGATGAAAGTGATTGAGGATGAGATATTTATAGGGAAGGGTGAGGGTGTGAACGACCGGGTAATTAAAGCTATAGTGCGCCCCCTGCACCGCGTTATACCCCACGTGTCAGATAAATAGGTATAGCGCGGAGCAGGGGGCGCTATAGCCACGTGTTACCCAGTCAACGTATAGCGCGGTGCAAGGGGCGCGCTATACCCCACGTGGCGCCAAATCAGCATATAGCGCGGGTCAGGGGGCATGCTTTACTGCTATGGGTGTTAGATCGGGAAATATAATCTGACCGGTGTTAGATCGATAAATATACCGATCACCGATGATATTTTGAAAAAAACGTCTCGTTAAACACTCTAAGCCTAGTTGGATAAAAAGACATTTGATAGTATTACAAAACAAAGAACGAGAAAACTTCGACAAGACAGACCATAAACAAAAACAGAACCACCCAAAGATTAGTAAGGGCAAATCAACTTCCACAAGTTCCTAATTTATACTCGTTGATTCACCATAAGCAGCATCAATATATAACATCGAATGCACCACTTGAGGAGGCTGGAGATACGTGACCGTATTCAAATTGTCAAAAACCTGTAAGTTTCGTAAGTTGATCCGCAACTTAATTTCCTGAACGCCGAACATGAGTAAATTTTAGTTCCAATTGCTTCTTCTGTAATTCTTTGATAAAATGCAGAATTGTTGGAGCATCGAGACATTCTTTTGAGCTACTCACCATTTGAACGCCTCTCAAACTATCCGTTTCAATGACTAGTGACGATAGCCCAAATCTCAAGCTAAACACATACCAACATAC